CGGTTCAAAAGTCGAGCATAGCCTTTCGAAATATAATCGTCGATTCTCGCACGACACTGCTTGGCATAATCTTCTTTAGATTTGAACTTTCTCTCGACTAGTGCCAAACGTTGAACCGCTGCGTCATAGGTATCAGGGAATGACACAAAATCCGATTTCCACAAAAGACCACACTCGTAACGACCATTCAAATATTTTGTGGTAGAGTTTAAAATCTTCATTGCACGTTCTTCGCTTTTTGACGCAACCGGTTTCACCTCAAGCTTGACTCCGCAGGTTTAGACCTCAAAATAGTTACGCATAATTTGTTCGACTTCTTGTTCATGGACACAGCTTGTTATAGTTTTTAGTTGAAATATTCTTTTCGTCGTACTTGCGGTTTCTCCGAAGGTTAGGTTAGGTTAGGTTTGGTTAGAGTGGCTGCCCCGCGCAGAACGCGGAGCACACGTGGGCTGGAAAAGCCCGTTGTGATACCACTGGCCGAAGCCATTTGTTTCTTTCCCTCCCTTAGTAATTGAACCACCGAGTGTGTTTTATATAGCACAAAAAGTCGAGAACGTTCGCCGAGTTCAAATCGGCTAAACAATCTACAAAGTACTTGTTGAAGAATTGGTTGCGCATGTTGGACAGGGCGGGACAGTGGCAGAGATAGTGTTCGATGGTCTCCACCTCCTCCTCGTCTCTGCAACTGCGACAGAAATCGTTGGTGAGGTATCCCAACCTTTTTCCGTGTGTGCCCATCAGGCAGTGTCCGGTGATTACCCCGACTACTAATCTGAGAGAGGAGCGGTCCAGCCGGGTGAGAGTTATGGATCGCTTTACATCAATCTTTGGCAGGTGGTTTCCACAGCCCATCTTATATTTACCTCCTCAACGAGTTTCGCCTTTAGTCTGTGTTTGCAGGAGGTTAGAGGTATGCCCGCATTCGGATCAGAATTGACTACAGAAAGTTCCGTCGCCCTCCTTGCCAGCTCGTCGGCTAGGCAGTTGCCAGGGATGTCCCTGTGTCCAGGGACCCATACAACAGTCAAGGAGCATTTTGATGCCAGCAGGTTGAGAGTATTTCTGCATTCGATGGCTACTTTGGACGTTGCTTCGTTAGAATTGAGAGATTTGATAGCAGCCTGGCTGTCAGAATAGATAGAGATAGGCCGTCCTGGAGGGGCGGAGGTTATAAGCCACCGAGCCGCCTCCATTATGGCTTTTAATTCCGCTTGAAAAACGCTGCAATGGTCCGGTAAGCGAAAACTGAGATTTAGCGCGAGTTCGTCAGAGGAGATCCCGCTACCCACTCTTTTGTTTAGCTTGGAACCATCTGTATATATGGCCGTAGACCCTGGGTTCAGGTCTGTGGCCCTTTCCCACTCGTTCCTCTCTGGGATTCTTGTGGAGAATTTGTTATCTAAACAGATTAGAGGAGTGGTATTATCTATCTGTCGTAGATTATCCGGTAGAGTTTCAAGTACTTTTGCGTGCCCGAATCTGAGGTCTCTCCACGGCTGGATTGTATTTAGCCTGGCCGCACTACAGCCGGCCTGAAATTTGCCGTAGAGATCCACAGGTGGAAGATTTAAGATTATTTCCAGGGATTTGGTGGGTGTAGTGGGCAGGGCTCCCGTGACGAGCATGGCAGCCGTCCTCTGCACACGTTCCACCTTGGCTCTGGATACGGTGTTGTTTAGAGCAGGCCACCATACGGTGACCCCGTTGAAAAGGATGGGTCATATCACAGCTGTGTACATCCAGTGTACTATATGTGGTTTTATTCCCCATTTTTTGCCTATAGCCGTTTTGCAGGCATACAGGGCAGTATTGGCCTTCCTCGAGCGGTCTTCAGTGTTTCGCTTCCAGTTCAGCTTCCTGTCCAGACTAACACCAAGGTATTTCACCTCGGTTGAGAGAGTGAGTGCCACCCCGTTTAGGGCGGGAGGTTTAAATAAGGGAGTTTTATACTTCCTTGTGAAAAGTACCATTTCTGTCTTGGCAGGATTGACATTAAGTCCACATTCCTTGGACCAGATGTTTACCAGAGCGAGTGCGTTTTGCAACAACTCACTCAGGACCTGAAGATGTTTGCCCGTTGCAACGATTGCTATGTCATCGGCGTACGCTATGACTTGACAACCGGTGCTCTTTAGGCTTAGAAGTATGGTGTTCACTGTTAGACTCCAGAGTAGAGGGGAGAGAACGCCCCCTTGGGGGGTGCCCCTGGTCACATACTTTGTAATGGAACCATCCCCTAGTTCTGATAGAATAGTTCTCTTTCCGAGAAGGAGCTCAACAAAATCCACCAGACCTCGCTGCACCCCCGCCATAAGAAGGGAGTTAATAACAGACTTCGGGTAGACGTTGTTGAAAGCACCCTCGATATCGAGAAAAACTCCGAGCGTGTATTCCTTTAAGGCCAATCCTTTTTCAATCGTCGCTACGATTTCATGGAGTGCGGTCTCCACGAATTTCCCCTTGGAATATGCATGCTGATTCGAGGAGAGGTTGTCAGCTTTAATATTCCGTCGAATATATTCGTCGATGAGCCTCTCTAGAGTTTTGAGAAAGAACGAGGTGAGGCTTATAGGCCTGAAATCCTTCGGTTTCACATGAGCGGCCTTGCCTCCTTTTGGTATGAATTCAACCTTTGCCTTTGTCCACTCGTGTGGTATGTGAGTCAGTGTTAGGCAGGCTGTAAAAATCTGAGAAAGCATGGGACATAGTATGTCCTTAGCTTCCTGTAGTTTAGCGGGAAAGATTCCGTCAAGGCCAGGAAATTTGTAGGGCTGAAAGGACATTAAAGCCCATTCCACCCTCTCCTCACTTACGATGTCCCCAACGGTATCACCCAGAGACAAGTAGGTCCTAGGACCGGGCGAAAAATCGGGGGTGTCATCTGAGCAGCCCGGGAAGTGAGTGCTCATAAGGACCTCCAACATTTCGCTACATGATGTCGTCCAGTCACCGTTAGGCTTCTGGACAGAGTTCATACTTGAAGAGGATTTTGAGAGAACTTTCCTCAGCCTGTTGGCTTCAGAGTTCTCTTCTATGTTGTCGCAGAAGTTTTGCCAAGATTCGCGTTTCGCCCTCTTTATGGCCTTCTTGAAAACTTTGAGTGCGTCTTTGTATGGTTGCCAAAGACCTGTTCGTTTAGCTTGATTGAAAAGCCTCCTGCTGTTCTTCCTCAGTGCTGAAATCTCAGGATTCCACCACTGGGGTTTCTTTTTGCCCTTCGGGAGGGTGCTTGGGCAGGAGGCTTTGAAAGCAGCATTACAGGCATTTGTCACAAAGTACACTGCTTCATCTATTTTTGACGATGAGTCCAGCTCACCGAGAGAAACAACCTTCGTATTCGAGAGACTCGCTTCATCAGATCCTAACGATAAGCACGACTTATCGTAAGAAGCGTATCTGTGTAGAGAGACCGACAGCGTATTTTTATACTTTGCCCAGTCGGTTCGCTTCTTGTTCCTGTATGCTGTTAAAGGAGCAGGATCAAAATTGAGCTTAAAGCTAATGTAGAGATGGTCAGAGAAAGAGTGTTCTTTGGACACCTGCCATTCCTTATCTGATCAGACAAACCGCTCGAAACAAGGGTGATGTCCAGCACTTCGTTTCTAACAGAGGTCACAAAAAAGGGGTCGCGCCCGCGGTAAGATTATATAAAGAACAAAGTCAAGTAAACACTCACCTCGAGAGTTGCTGTCGCTTGAGCCCCAGTTCGTGTTATGCGAGTTAGAGTCTGCCCCTATTATGACCGGGAGTTTCCTGCGATTTGCTTCCTTCACAGCTTCTTCCAGTCTGTAGGGTGGAAAAACGTGGCTGTCGTGGGCCATGTAGGATGTTGCCAGCCAGATCACGCTCTCCTTCAGCTGGACGCTGAGGCAGACGGTGTCCTCGTCGCTGTATTGGGAGAGTAAAAAATAAGAATATACTTTTTTAATCAGAATGCAAGCTCTGATCCTACCTGCTACTGGAGCTGTTACAACCTGGTAGGCATCAGAGTTCAGTCCGCAAACCTTGTTTCTAACGATCCAAGGCTCTTGGACTAGAATCAAGTCCTCAGCTTTATTGCGGAGGCGAAGATGAAGGGCAGCCGAGGCTGCCTTGGAATGGTGCAGATTAATTTGTAGGATCTGCACCATCCTCAGAGTCGGTGATGTCCATCGCTTCTAGCTCCTCCCGTTCGGCGGCGGCAATGACTGTGATGTCATTAACCTCCTCCTCCGGTTCGGAGTCCAGAAGCTGGTCCTCGTTCAGCATTGCCCACCGGCTGTATACCGACCCTACGTAGGCAGATACTGAGCTCGTGTCGCTCTCAGTATCTGACGCGGTTTCGGGTTCACCCGTTGGTAGGTCCCCAGGTCCACTCGTGGTGTTTCCTGTGGACCCCGCGGTTTCTCCGAAAGGACCGTAAATTATCCATCCCAACCTCGTTCTTACAGCAATAGGGCCAGGGTTGCAAGATGACCGTGGTATATCTACAGGAGTAGTTAAATATGCAATCAAAAGACTTATTATCATTTTCGGATGTACATTTTTATATTTGTATTTGTATTTGTTTCTTTTAAAGAACTTGGTATCGGCAAAGCTAGCTTGTTCGATAAAAATACTTTAGACATCAAATACCGTTGGCTTTCAGCTTCAGTGCCAGTTATGGTTAATTGCACAACTTCTGTCGACTCATGGGATGAGACTCCGAGTCTTTGGAGCGCTTAAGACCAAGTTCATTTGCTATATTCCAATCAAACATAGTACCATCCGCCCCGTCGTGGACCATAGCATAAATTGAGACTTTGTTGTCATGGTAGAGCTTGACTGGGATGATTTGAAAGAGTACTCCATCGTTTTTTGTATCAGCATGACAATTTCTACGGTCGATCAGACTGGCAACTGTTGTCTCCGCTGATTGCTGCAAGTTCGACTGACCATTATGGCGGATTTCGTTAGGATGTAGTAGACGATTATGTAAACGCGCGCAATCGTTTATCCCACAACGTCTTTTTACATAACTGATTTGGCTTAAGGCATGAAAAGCAAATTCGTAGTTCTTTCACTTTTTTCCATCGGTCATCGACGCCCAGACAAATAAACTGTGGGCACGCGTTAAGTGCTGCGCATTCACCCTGACAAACACTACAATTGCTTTGAGCAACGCTTAAAAAAGAATACTTATTAGCTTTCGGTGGATGAGGATGTGGCGCAACGTCTTGTTCTTTCACTTTTTTCCATCGGTCATCGACGCCCAGACAAATAAACTGCGGGCACGCGTTAAGTGCTGCGCATTCACCCTGACAAACACTACAATTGCTTTGAGCAACGCTTAAAAAAGAATACTTATTAGCTTTCGGTGGATGAGGATGTGGCGCAACGTCTTGAGTACGGCGGCTACCAGCAGCCGTCGCAGACGGTAAACTGCCGGTTACCATATTCGCAAGTTTTCGCAAAGCGTTCAACCACTTACTGAAGTCTTCTACATTCGGGCATCCAACGAAAGACATTTCTCCGCCCACTGCATTTGCTTAGAGGTAGGTAGCTTTGTTACTAACTCGCTCAATAAAGACGGGTTGGCTAGATGGTGATCTCCTTGCACGGATTTCAAAAATGTCGACATATTATTGACTTTAATCGCGAAATTTATTAACGGCTCGAGCTTTCCTTCCGGCACGTTAGAAATTAACCTAACCTTTTCAATTCGGCTTTTTATTAGCAACTCCGGACGTCCGTAAGTTTCCGACAGAACTTCAATTATAGCGCTTACACTTTTCGAGGATGTTAGTAACGACTCCACTGTATCTCTAGCAATGCTTCCATGCAATGCTTCTCTAATCCGCATTATGTTATGTATATCGCTGTACTCCAATTCGAGGGTGGTGCTTCTGAAATCTTCAATAAATGCTTGCCATTCTTCTGGCTGACCTCCGAATTTCGGTAAGGGATAGATTTTTTTGCTTTGGCTGGTGCGCAGCTGTGGGGGGTAGAAAAAGACTCACCAAGTGTAGCAGCAGGATGTGCTTGGGCGTTCGCGCCATTTGGTTGCGCGGGACTTGCTTGACGTTGGGCATTTGTGTCGTTTGGGGGCATAAGGTTTGTGGAAGACTCATTATTTCCGTTGGTAGCAACCGTTCTGGCAATGGCCTGAACTTCGTTGCGCAGGGCGTTAACGCTGGACTTATTTTGCTCATTCTGGCTGACGATTAGATTTTGCAGAGCGGCTATTTGTCTCTGGAATTCCCTTTGCATTTCCTTCAAATTTCTAGCAGAGTCAGACTGCTGTGGCAAATTTTCAGTTTGACTCCTTCCAGTAGGGGGTTGAGGCTGCTTAGGGGCATTTGCTGCATGCGGCGAATCTGGCATTGCGTACCGTTGCGGCGGGATTCCCTTGTTCTCTCGCGTGCTCCTTCGCGTTTCTGGCGTAAACCGAGAATAAAGGCATATACAAACTTACTTCTGCCGGTATATGCAGAAATTTTAGGCAATTCGACTCCAAAAAATCACAGGCAATGCGACGAGAAAAACAAGATCCAAAAAACGGTGACGAGCAAAAGGGGCAATCTGCTGCAAATGAAGCGAAGAATAAAGTTGTCCGTTCGCATAAATAGCTTAAAGAATGAAACGCAAACTTCACTATAGAAGACGTGGCATGGTTTATTCTCTGTAAATATGTAGAGTTACAATAGCAAATAAATATTTATATTACAGTCAAATTACTCGCTTTCGGCTTTCTTCTAAGCTGCGGACAGAACAATATTAGCTTTTGACAAATGGAAGAGCCAATTTATATTAAATTTCTTAGATAGAATTTACTGTTAATAGCCGGCCAGAAATACGGAATAGACAAACTAATAATAACTAATACATGAGTTAGGGATAACAAAAACATAGAACAAAGAGTGACCAATATCGATTATTCAGGGTTGCCTTCATCAACAGTCCCTTTTAAAGCACATAAAAAAATAAGCTTCTAGTCTCGAAGTTAGCACAAAATTAAATTTTTGTGTTTGTTGTTTACAAAAAAATACTTGCCAAGTATATAAGTCAAAATTGTTAAATATATATCGCTTGCATTCATTTCTTCATAGAAAAATTCATACGGCTTATAACCAGATTCATACCATGCAAACGCACCATCCCTTACACGGCGTTTACATGAGACAATTTTGTCAATACAATAGCAATACATTCACACTGTTTCACTAATGCATTCACACTTCTCTCATTGTCTTCGTCACTGTCTCTGATTTTTCGAAACAGTAAGTTGGACACTAAATTGGACAATTCGGCCATGCCCTGGTTAATTTGAGAAAAAGAGGAAAGGCAAAATCGCAAAAAATCGCAGAATTATGAAAAGTGGTTTGTGTTTGGATATTTTAGTAGATAATGTGAAGTTCACGCCAAACGAAACTAACGGCGGTTTCTGAAAAATGCATTGTCTTTATAATTGTCGGGACGCCTAATTTACACAATAATTTGATACATATTCTCAATTGTCTTGCCTAAAATTGTCTTATGTGAACGCAGCGTTAGCCTCAGTAAATTCCACTGCGTGGTTATTATATCATAATCGCAATCTATGAGATGGGGAAACTTTAACAAAAGAGGTAAAATTGGTAAATCTTCTGTACAAACTACCTTAGCTGTTGTCATTATTTGTAAAATTTTTATATCTTCACGCTTGAAATCAAATCTTAAATTCATTTGGTCAAAAACTCTATGTAAAGCTTTAATATATTTGTTTTAACTTCAAGGATTCCAGAACAATTGACATTACTTAGTATTAATATCCCAGCTTTCCTTCCAACAAAAATGTCAGATATTTTAACATTATTATTTTCGTTTTTAAAATCAGCATTAATATGTTACTGATCGCATCTTTTTTAATTAAGTTATGGTGCATTTATATGGTATGAAGCCATATGAACAGTTGATATGCTACAAGTAATTTTTAGCAAAAAAAACCGACTTAAAAAAATATATATATATCTATATATTTCATGATTCAATGATCGGATCTAAACCAAATTAGTATAGGACCACCTCTGAGACACTACCATTCCGTTGCAAAAAGAATTATCGAAATCGGTTGACGTGGTCCAAAGTTATGCGGTAACATACATAAAAAAAAACATATTCCGACGAACTGATAACCTCCTCCTTTTTTGGAAGTCGTTTAAAAATAGAGGGGGAATTCAATGGTATCGAGTGGGGTGCATATGGTACATTTTTTCATATGAATAATGATGCGGAGCTACTGTAAACATACTGTTGTGATACTGTGAAGCATATGAAATTATAGCATGTTTGATTTTCATACATACCATGAGAAGTTTAACAGATGCAGGGATATCAATGAAGTTTTTCTCCGTTTTGATGCATTTTAGTACAAAAAACCGCCTAAAATGAGGAAAGTGGCAACTCTAACATTCAATATTTCACATCCATGTCAAACAAACAAATTCAAAACAAAGAAATTATCTGTGCTAGAATTTTTTATATAGAAGCAACTCACCTATGGTAGACAATAAAAATACCAAGCGGTATGATAACAAACTAAAAAGCAAGACATTACACAAAGTTTTAATGAGCTTTTTATCACATTTTAGTAAAAATAGGCCTATAATGCCCAAGCTGACAAAGAAACGAAAATGTGTATATTTTGTTGTTTACAAAAAAGACTTGCCAAATATATAAGTAAAAATTATAGAAGGCATGTATGCTGCTCCCTTTCAATTTTTCACACAGTTGATGCTTCTTTCTGGCTTTTACAAAATGCAGGGATACCACTCTTGTTTTGGTACAATATAATTGTAATGTATTTTCAATTCGAAATCAAAGAAAACAGCGCAGGACAATTTTTGCAAACTACTGCATATCATAAAATGTTCAGAGAATTAACAAAAAAAAACAAAAATTGTATGGTCTCATGCTTCTTTCAAACCGAATGCATATGGTGGCGGTTCCGGTAAATGCGAATTGTATTTGCGCGAACTCGTTTTTAGTGTATTTGCATACATTGGTTAATTGGCTTACCGAAACCACCACATTCCAAATGTAGGCATTTCACTGTCAAAGCAATGTCGCGAGAATTCGCGCGAATAAAATTCGCTCTTACCGAAACCACCGCCCAAGACCGCATTGTTATTACTTCTCATTCTTTTGGTTAGCGCTGTAACCGCTTAAGAATTTTTTGCCAAATCTAATAAAGCTAGCCAGTCGTTTCTTCTTTTCGAATTGAGATTTACAAAAGTTATATTTTTTTAATTCATAATAAGTGAACACATTGAAAACGACGAGCTACCGACCACAGCTTCCAATTTGTCATCTTTATTATCTAAGCGCTTTGTCGATGGCAACATGATTTCTTTGAACGCGGCAGCGACATCATGAATTTGTATGAGTTTGACATAAAAGAAGAGGAAGAACCTTATCTGTCGCCAGAAAAATAGAAATAGATCTAATCTGGCCACAACCACAGCCGTCGCGTAGCCCGGTCGTCGCCAAAATAATTATCTACATAAGAGTACGTGTTAAAATAATTTGACAGCTGTGGTTTGTAGCTCGTCGTTTTCATTGTGTTCGGGCTATAAGAACTTTTTCATCCGCTCCTGAATTTTGGGTACACTTTCTAATCGTATCTCTTTTCAATATACATAAGTATATATACTCTGATGTATTTTGAATAAATATACTTGCACATACATATGTAGAAGTAGTGGCGGCCGCTGTGGAGTAATTGTTAGCATTCCGCACTACCATTTCATAGGGCCTAAGTTGAAGACCAGTTTCCGAACGTTTTTTTCTAATAGCGGTTGCCCCTCGGCAGGCAATGGCAAACCTCCGAGCGTATTCTGCCATGAAAAAAAGCTTCTCATAAAAATACAATCGCCGTTCAGAGTCGACGTAAAACTGTAGCTCCCTCCCCTTTGTGTGACAACATCAAGACACACGCCAAAAAGCACGGAGGAGAAGCTAAGTCAAACACAAACATATTGTTTAAGCGGCAATCTATAAATGTTGAAGTATTACATAAATATTTTGGTGGTTTTTCAAGTATAAAATCTATTGAGAAACGGAAGAAAACGGCATCCCTATAATTTCAACTTATGCCAAACGTTTTTAATATGAAAGAGAAAAAACATTAACAAGCAATTTCTGAACAAAAAACCTGTTTTTCCACAAAGATATTTAAATGGAAGTTGTACACATATAAAAATAGCAATCCACAATGATTTATGGCAGGAGGAGAAGGACACTTCAACCAGTTCTTGTCCTTTTTAAAGAACATTTCAAAAAAAAAAAAGCTTCTACTTTCCAAGCTAGCACAAACTATTTGTATTTGTTTGTTGTTTACAAAAAATACTTATATACTTGGCAAGTATTTTTTTGTAAACAACAAACAAAAAAATTGCATTTTGTGCTAACTTCGAAACTAGAAGCTTATTTTTTTTATGTGCTTTAAAAAGGACCTACTGCCAATAAAGCCTTGTGGATTGCTATTTCTTTAAATGTGTAATGCTTCCATTCAAACATCTTTGTGGATAAACAGTTTTTGTTCAGAAATTGCTTGTTTATGTTTTTTGTCTTTCATATTACAAACGTTTGGCATAAGTTTAAATCACAGGGATGCCGTTTTCTTTCGTTTCTCAATGGATTTCATACTTGAAAAGACACGAAAATATGTATGCAATACCTATAGGTGTCGTTGTTTTAAGTACGTAACCGCGTATCATCAAAACACAAAACCTCGTATTTGAGGTTGCCTAAATTTTGTAGGAGAGAGTAAAACTTGTCATAATTCAAAACTGTTCTCACTTTTAAACTTAATTATCTCTTCTTCTTATCTCTAAGTATCGATATTTTAGTATAAATGATTAAGGGCTTGATGATAGGAGCTCCCGGTGAGCAAATATCATTTTTGACACAAATGTCAGTTACGAGGTTTTGCAGAACCACGATAAGCACTTTTGTACTTTAAACGACGATATACAGATTGCCGCTTACACAATATGTTAGTGTTTGGCCTAGCTTCTCCTCCGATATGGGGCGTGCGCCTTGATTTGGTCACACAAAGGGGAAGGGCAGTTTTACGACGACTCCGAACGGCAATTGTATTTTTATGAGAAGCTGTTTTCATGACAGAATACACTCGGAAGTTTATTATTACCAACAGAGGGGCGACCGCGAATGTCGGGGTCGGAGCATCACACCTAAACTACACCACCGAATAACGCGAAAATGTACACAGTTCTATATTTTGCCCTCAGAACGGTAATAGGAACGGTTTTTTTTTACAACAAATGTCGATTTTGCAATACTTGTTTTATAACAAATCTTATTATATATATAAAAATGAGTTGCTGTTCGTGTGTTATCGTATAACTCAAGAACGGCTCAACGTATTTGCTTCGTTTCAATTTCATTATGTGTCGTTCTGTCTGTAGAAGGTTTGTAAAGAGAAAATTGGAAAAACGGTGTGGCCAGATATCTGAAATATCAGACGCAAAAAAAATGAATCTCTATATATAAATGTGAAAGTCTGTACGGGCTCGGAGCATCACGCCTAAACCACTCCACCGAATAACGCGAAAATGTACACAGTTCAATATTTTGCCCTCAGCACGGTAATAGGTAGTAACATGCGCATGTGCATTGCAAATATTAATTATAGTTATTGATGATAATGCTAAAGATTAATGATATATCTCAAACAATGAATGGAATTGTTCTTGAGAAAAAAAGTTTTTAATGAAAACTAGTTTCGTATAATGCTTCGTTTTTATGAAATAAAAAGTTTGTAATTAGATAATTGGAAAAGTGTGTTGCCAGATATCTGCAGTATCAGAAAAAAATAATTATAAATGAGCCGCAATAATTCCATTTCACTGAGAATGTATAAAAAAAATAGTACAGAAAAAAATTTGGGTAGGGTTG